TATAGTTTTCGAAAGTTTTATCACTTTTTGTTTATAATTGACATTTTTACAGCAACTTAAAAAAATTGACGTTTTATACCGTTTTTTCAATCTCACGGCTTTGTTATTGCAAATTTCGTAATCTGACCATCGTCATTTTGTAGCTATTTTTATTACGAACAAAATCATGTCCTAAGCATTTTTTCGTACAAATTCATCCCGCTGAATTATTTAAAGAAAACTACTAAAAAAATAATTTTTCACGATTAAATTGTTAATAACTTTTTTCCTGATAAAATACTTTGTCAGCAAATTAGCCTGTTATTGTACTCATCATTTAAAGTACTCCTGTGTAGTTATTTCCGAGTTATCAAGAAAATGTCACCAACAGTAACTTTTCCGCCTCTGCCGACTGGACTAATTGATTTTGCAAAACACAAACTTGACAGTGACTTGTCGAAAATGTCATGTTGTTTTGAATGCATAGTTGTTTCCAAAAAATATGGGATATGTATATTTTCTGTAATATGTTCATAACCAAGTATAATTTTTTGTGTAAAATAAAATTATCTGCCTATTTCTAGTAGTTGACTGTAAAATGAACGCCCTGTATGATTTAACCCAATAGGAACATAATCACTGCATACTTCATGAAGAGAAACTAATCAACAGCAAATTTTGCTCAAATCGGTTAACTGGGTTCTGAATTAAGGAGAAAACAAGAAATTAAACCCTTGAAGTTCTTATGTAACATTCATTAGGTGATACTCGGTACATATAAAAATCAATAGGAATTAAATGCCACAAGATGTTTTAAACACAAAAAGACTATCAAAATAAATATGATCCCTTTCCGAGTATTATGTGGAATAATGGCAAAATACAATTTGCCTATTTAACCTATAAATATTTAATAACACACTCGTGCTCACGTAGGTCTTTCATTTTAAATATAACTTTATGTAATAAAATATTCAAGTTGCATATTACTCCATGTTTAAGCGAACGTAAAATATTAAATAGCAATGTTGAACTGCTGAAAAATACAATTCAGCATTTTATATTTAGTGCAAAATTATTTGAGCAAATATTTTATAACAAATATAACCTTTAAGAAGGTATTTAAAATAGTAACAACAAACTGAGTGTATTATTAAGCTTATTTTAAATTTAAATAGACAATAAATAACTCGTAAAATATCTCAGCCTTCGGATATGCTTACACAGCCTCACAAAAAAAAAGTTCAGCACCAGAGCTGATGTCTCGAGTGGATGTGGATTTAATTTGTATATATTTTTTCCAATGCTCAAAATATTATTTTAAAATGTATTCTCAATTTACAAATTGTTACTTTTCATTATAAAGCTTTACCTTATCCTCACTATTTCACCCTGTTTTAAGGGATATTTTAGCATTTTACTATACAATGCACTGGTAAATTGCTTTTTGAGTTTCGGATTCGGATTCAGTATCAAAAAATACAAAAAATCTATGTACTCTTGACACTGGTGCAGAACTCTTTTTTGATGATGAAAGGAACAAATTCGTTTAAAATTCAGGTAATTATTTTGTGCAAAAACGCTCGGAGATGTCGATTATTATTTTTAGTTGCGGATTTTTTGACATAAGAAAAATGTATACAGGGTGTCTCAAGAAGAACATATGCAGTCATCATTGATTTTTAATGGAACACACTGTATATTGTGCCCTTTTTGAATTGTAGGGTAAATTCTAAAATAATGACGTTGATGTGATAAATGGAAAAAAGAAATTAATGTTTAATCATAAAACATTATTTAAATAACAATTGCTTTATAATAAATATTCAATGTTTTGTCCGCTTTACTTCAATACTTTTTTGTAGTCGAAGGATTGTTTCCCGTTGAACGAATTATCTCTACTGGAATAAGTCTTATTCCAGTGGTGTATTCTCTGTTTCAGGTCATCAAGATTATTTGGTCTATTCGCATAAAGTTTAGATTTCAAATAACCCCATAAATAAATCTAAATGCGTTAAATCCGGTGACATTGGTGGCCACTCAATAGAACCTTTGCGTTCAATCCATTTATTAGGGAAATTTCAATGTCAAGAAATTGTCGAACTACAATTGCAAAATGAGAAGGTGCCCCATCGTGTTGGAACCATAAGTCATTATGAGGAATATATGAATGTTGTGGAATAGGAAACAAAACAACTAAAGCGGGAATGAGTTCAAACTGAAGAAAGTCTAAGTAGCGATCTCCATTTAAATTTTCTTCAAAAAAATAAGGTGCAAGAATTCGGTTTTCGACAATACCTGCCCAGACACTTATTTTTTGACAATGGTGTATGTGACAGACTTGATGTCCAACGAGGATTTTCAGTTGCAGTTTTATCTGTTTACGTGGCTATTTAAAACAAAAGTAGTCTCATCAGAAAAATTAATCTTTCGTGTGAAATCCTTAAGTTTTGATTATTCATCTCAATTATCTGCTCAAAAAACTGCGTTCTTTGTCCAAAATCGTCTTCTAATAGTTCGTGTATCAATTGAACCTTATAAGGATGATATACTTTCGGAGTATTTGTGACACAGATCCCGACGACAAATTAAGGAGAGAACGCATTAGGTGGTCGCGGTCCCGTCGCATCGCGGACCGTGCTAGTCGCGATCGCGCGCGGTGGAGTTCCTTTCCATGTGTTATAATGTATGCATTCGCACTAGACGTTCCCGAGCTCATCTCGCTCACATCGAGTTCTCCACCGATATTTTCCAAAGAATCTCGGAAGACCACGATGCGATCGAGATGAGCTCGAGAATATCTAGTGCGAATGTTTTTGATGATCGCGTACCATACTAATTCTATGAATCGTTTAAAATCGAAGTAAATCGGCAACGTGACCACCCGAAATTTTAAAGAAGTTACCTTAGACAAACGGCCAGTCTTTCTACAGGTGGTATGTAGCGTCTAAATCTTGTATTTTGCAACTGAATGTCTCTAGTAGCTCAATGTACTTTCCAAATGGCATACGGAAGTACTGAAAAAATCGCTGTTCGTCCAATAACAATTTTTTTTAATAAAGTTTGAAATTCACCCTCTACTTTCNAAATCGACGGGTCTGAGCGTTTTTCTACAATCTTGACGCAGTTCCTGAAAATGGCACTGTTTCGTTTTCATTTGGCCACCCTGTATACTTACTAGTAAAATAGTTTGGTTGTTAATCACATGATAGTTTCCAGCCCTTAAGCGAACGCTTTTCTGACTTCTGGCAATTATTATCAAAAAATCATTTCGTAGAGGCCGCAGAATCGGTAAATACCATTCGCACTCGTGATATATCATGTCTGCAGTTGCTGCTAACTAAAAAGAAATAGTTTTCCTTTGTAAATTATTAATTACTTTTTAACGCATACTTCGTCCATCAGTAATTGTGCAGGTAGACCATATACCAAGGAGTATTCCATAAGTATACACAAACTGACCAATATTATTCTAGTTTTGTCAATGATATCTCCACTGAAAATTAAAATTCGGGCGACCGGTTTTAAAATAATTAAATTATTAGCAAGTACTTACTTTAACGACAAAATATACATATTTATGCACATCTCTGTAACGCTGGAGACCATCAACAATGCAGTTGGGACAGATAATAATTTATTCAAATCTTTAACATATCTAGAAAAGTATAAACACTGGGAGATATCACCTACTGAGTTAAATTAAGATATATCTACCTTATGAGAAACTGTTGATATTCAACAATGGTCTTTAAATCTCGAATAAATTCATCTAGACCGTCGGTATTTTCAGCATTTAAATTTATGCTTCCAATTTTCAGATTCAACAACCTAAATTGTACCACAACCAAAGTAATGAGGGCACACGTAAAATTACTGAAGGAAATAAAAGATATTGCCGCCAATAGAAGATAATAGAACTCAAAAATATAAAACAAAGGAAATGGAATCATAGGCGGTGTAACAGTTAAATATTGATGACCCTTTAACAATAAACGGCTTCAGCGCGAATATGAAAATACCGAAGATAAGAAGACAATTAAAACTCGTTTCAATTCTTTTCAAATATTGCATGAGTAACATTATTTTATCATCTGCAACGTTGACTTTCCAGAAGTCTTCCATTCTTTGTAAAATCTGTTGAATCTTATCCTACTTAGCACCATACCCAAGTATTTAATAGATGCCTGAAATGGAAATTAACTATTGCTAATCGAGTTAATGAAGCACCCTATATGAGAGTCTTTACAGATAAGTAAAGATAAGCAAAAAGGCAGTATCAATTCTATTTTTATTTGACAACAATTTGCATAACAGTGTTGAATTGGTAATACTTACAAGGACAAAACTATTCAATGACTCCACATAGTCTAGATTCTTATCCTGATAACATTTTAGGCATGCCATTAGAAAGAAAAACGTTGTTATTAAAATGTTGAAAAAAACGCGACATTTGCTAAAAGGTTGTTGAGGGTGTACTCCAAGAAATAGAAAATATTTATAGCAGTAACTGCTTATCATATTTAGTTGTAACAACGGCCAACAAATTGTGTGGCAGAGTAAATGGTAAGTTATAGAAGTTCTCTTGCAGCAATCTTATATAAGTATACAGAGGAAAATTACTCCTTTCCACTAGATACCTATTACCTATAATTTCCTTAGAAAATTCTTAATAGATCATTGGAAAAAAATACTTAATTGACATCAAGAAATGAAATATTAACTGAAGTTATTTATTTGTGACGTGGTTTTAGTTTTTCCTCTATTTACTTGCTTATTTTGCGCCCTATGAAAAAAAATTATGTTTATTATTATTATTATATATTTTTTATTACTCATGAGGCATAACTCCCACCTTTTCGCTTGTTTTTTAGGTCGGTAAAAAGCTGTTTGCCTACTCTACTTATTTCCATGCGGTGATCACACTTTTCGCCTGCGAATTGGCAATGAAACATGCAAAATTTAAATACACACTCGAAAATATTATTTTTAAAAAGTGACATTTAAATGACAGTTGATTATGTCAACCTAAACTGACCCCACACCGCGGCTTCACCCCTTGACCCTAAGATTTCACCTCATTCGTAATAAATAATAGTATGTATGTGCAATTCGTACGGTTGCATATTGCCCACTTGAGCGGATCAGCCCCCTCTCGTGGACAATACACAATTTACTGCACTTATTGCACAATATACTATTATTTCAAAAAGGAAATTATACAAAATTTAATTAGGACCCAACTACATCAATGGAAATTAAAATTTTATGTAATACAAACAAGAATTTCCAGATAATGAGTGTTTGCAGTCCATATGTATGGAACATATGAATCTGTAAAAAATTTACAATTTTTATTTAAAATCTTGTGTATTATGTCAAAATTACCTCGTGCGTGAATTTTGGGGACACCCTTTATAAAAAGCGTGACAACATTGACAAACATTGCTATTACACCAATCATAGAAAAGACAGTTTGCAATTTTTTATAAACATTTTTATTAAAAAAACGCATTTTTTTTAGTTTTTTGCTTATAAAAATTAAACTAACTAAGCGATCTGAATGCTATGAGCAGACAATTTGTAGAGAATCGAAATACGAATAAAATGAGAGGTCGATCGATCGATCGGATAATTAGAAACAAAGAAAACCCGGAAAAATCGGAAAATTTAGCATTTTTTTTTAAATTCATTACTCCGCCATTTTTTAAGTCGTAGAGTTGACCCTGTGCACAAAAGTAGTGAATTACATGTACTTTAAGTGTGCACAAAGCAGATACTGACGAACCATTAGTTTTGACACAATTGCAATTTGAATTTTTTGGTGCCCTATTTTGCAAAGTTTCTGGATGCGTTGGAGGTGGTCCTATTTTAATTTTTAAGCCTTTTAATTTTTTATTCTACTTTTCCGATAAAATGATGCGAAATAGGTGAAATAGGGACAGTGAATATACAGGGTGTCCCACGGTAACGTGACATTAGACATATTTCAGAAACTGACTTCGATTTTAATATTGAAAATTTGGGCAATAGTGTTTCTCAACTAAAATAATGGCGTCCACCTAACATTTCCAGTTATACACACTGTATATTATTGCAATTTTGGATTCTACGTCAATTTTTAGGTCTTTCATAAATGTTTGGTATTCTTAAAATTAACCGTTTGATATACAGGGTGTATCTAAATAACACCGAAAAAATTCAAGGGGCGATTCTCCGATGAAAATTAATAGGGGTCTTTGGTATATAATTTTTTGAAAAAATCCTTCCCTGAAAAGTTACGCCCCTCCTAAAATTACAAAAAAAAATTGTTTTTCTTTTTTATCTTCCACGTACATCAAGCTAAAGAAACCAAACTTGGTGAACATTATCTGTCAATAAAACTACACTTTTTGAAATTTTTTCAACCCTGAACTATTTTTGTAAGGGGTTGAAATAATCAACCCCTATGACATTTTTTCTTATAATTTTTTTT